TCGGTAATAATATCGCGGGCGGCGGCCGAATGGATTAAAAAGAGCCAAAACAACCGAATTCAGAAATGACTAAATAAAGAAAAAAAATATTGTACATGAGACAAGGCGAATACGAAAATGCTGGACGTCTTACCTGACTGGCAGAATACATACAAACAATACAGCAAGCCACTCGTTTAGTGTGTGGGTGATCGTCGGAAATTTGAAAAAATACCCCTAAAACAGGGTCTGAATGCATGGGGAGGAGGGTGGTTTCGATGTCGGTTATCAGTTAAAAGTTCAAGCATTTGTCGGTAGTCAGTTAAAATTCTAGGCATTTGTCTGTAGTCGGTTATTTAAAAAAAGTTGATACATTAAGTTTGAATGCATCTACTACGGTGTGTTAGGGCAACAGAATGCTTTCTAAAATGCCAAGAACTGAATCCTTGAGTCTTGATTGGTCAATTGGATGCCACTCAAAGTTTTAGAGTGCAGTAAAGTCAAGTAAGCAAGAGGGTTTGTTCTTCTAAACATAACTGTTCTTGTACGAATTTCGGGAAAGGGAATTTTAATAAGCTACTTTTGTTGACAAATGTTTTTTTAAAATAAATTTGTTCCTGGAAAACTGGGCTTATATACCGTTTTTATGTTCAAAAACTGCTTATATTTATTTAGTTAGGAAATTGTTATTTTCCTGGCAAAAATTCTTAGAAAATATTCCTTGCCTGGAGAGTTCTTTTTTCCTGAATTTCTCGCTGAGAACCAGTTGTGAGTTCTCAGTACCAAGAACCCGTCGACAACAAACAACAACAGCTTTGAAGAGGGTCTCACAGCTAAAAAAATGGCTATTTCACGACTCACAACTAATTTTTTCGAATCACGGTTAACTAGATTACATTTTTGAAATGAAAACAACGCTTTTCATTACTTTTTCGTGTAATTAGTTTTGTGCTAGAGATAGTGAGTGTGGGAGCACAGTGTCCCTTGTACGTTATAGACACTCAGTCATTATAATTTTTTATCATCACTCTCAAATGCCAAATTTTGTCCATGCCCTGACTTGTCTGCGGGACCTTGTTGGTAAATGCGATCCATTATAATTTTGAGGGGGTGGGGGAGTGGAAGATTTTGGGAAAAAATTCCTGCACGGCCGAAGGGCTGGAAAAAAAAAATCTTGCAAGGCAAAATTTTGAAAGATCTCCACTAAAGCTTTTATTTTTTAAATTTACTAAAAAAATTTACAAGCGCGCGCTTGGAGTTGACTGACCTTCTGAGGAACAATACTCAATCACGGCTCACGCTATAAAAAAATATTCACGCCTCACGGCTAATTTTTCTCATTTTCACGACTCACGGCTAAGTTTTCAGCCGTTTCACGGCTCACGGTTAACCCCCTTGAGACCCTCTTTGAAAGCTGATCACATAGTACGTGATATAGTGATATCTGGTAAAGCCATCTGGGTTGTGTTCGCTCCCTGCAGCAGTGACTATGAGCGGTGCATGCGATGGTATAAAATCACATTTATACCGAATCAATATATTTTACATATTATGATACCCGTTTTTACCTACACATTTTGACCTAACATCATTTAGTACTATCTTTTCACTCAAATATACAATAATCACGACCTAGCACGTGAGTAAGTATCATTAAGCCATCTGGTTAATCTGTATAGTCTGTATAGGTGGCTCATGTTCCTACTTCTGAACACGGAGAATAGAAATCACGTACCAGCGAAAGAAAGTGACAAACAACGTGAATTACATAACGTAGACTATCAGGTTTAAATGAAGACGAAATCAAGTGTAATATATTACAAAAACCGTGAGAATTGTATCTACCTTATAATCACTAGTTCCAGTAGTACCAACCAACCTTGACCCTCGATTTACTACCCTCGACCCTCGACCAAAAGACAGGGCAAAAGACAGACTCAAAAAAACCGGGAAATTTCACATTCTTTTCTTGCAGAGACTTTTTAAGGTACTTCGCTACCCCTCAGACTGGTGCATGGCCACGTGCTCTTTAAACCACATTCACTAGGATACTATCAAAATATCTTACATGTTTGATATGACTTCATATATACATTTAGACTCAACGTTCATTTGCAATGTCTTCAATAATTAGATTCAATGTGTCTAGTTGTAATCAATTCGTAATCACTAGTCCCAGCACCACGTATTGATTTACTGGTAATTCCAAGT